TTTATTCATGCTACTTATAAAGAAAGTAGAGATAACTCACATGGAGTCAAAGCAACAAGAATCCCAAGGGAGTGAACTTAATTGTTGTCATGCATGATCATTTTGAGCAGTTGGCATATGACGTATTCAGAAAATCTAGCCATTGTTGGTGATATGATTGAGTCAATTATAGATGCGAGCATGCAGTACAAACTTCACATTGAGGGGCAATTGCAAACCCAAGGTAAATTCTTTTTCCAATAAATCTGCATCTCAAGATCACAAGGTCAAACCATCTTCAAACTCCTTCATGACATTTCCAAAAGCATTTCTATAAAAGGCAATTTCTCAACTTATTTTCAAAAGCAATTTTTCAATTCATTTCTTACCAAATAAGCATTCCATAACATTTTTGTACCAACATGACATATCAACATAACATTCCATTTCATTTTCCTGCCAAATAAGCATTCTATTATATTTCTCTACTAACATGACATTTTACTAGTTTTGTCTGCAAGCATGACTTTTCACATAACTTTTCATGCAAACATTTGAGCTTTTTTTCATCCCATTTAGCCCAACATGCGGCTAGCATTTCATTCATGCCCAACATGCGGCATTGCATTTCATTCATGCCCAACATGTGGCATTGCATTTCATCAGCCCAACATGCGGCTAGCATTTCATCAGCCTAACATGCGGCTTTGCATTTCATTAGCCCAACATGCGGTTAGCATTTCATTTATGCCCAACATGCGGCATTGCATTCAGCCCAACACGCGGTTCATATTATTCAGCCCAACACGCGGTTCATATCATCCAGCCCAATACGCGGCTCATATCATTCAGCCTAACACGCGGCTTGCATTTTATTCAGCCCAACACGCGGCTCATATCATTCAGCCCAACACGCGGCTCATTTCAGTCAGCCCAACACGCAGCTCATATCATTTAGCCTAACACGCGGCTTGCATTTCATTAGCCCAACATGCAGCTTGCATTTCATCAGCCCAACATGCGGCTTTGCATATCATTCAGCCAGCTCAACACGCGGCTCATTTCATTCAGCCCAACACGCGGCTCATATTATTCAGCCCAACACGCGGCTTATTTCATTCAACCCAACATGCGGCTTTGCATATCATTCAGCCCAACACGCGGCTCATCTCATTCAGCCCAACACGCGGCTCATCTCATTCAGCCCAATACGCGGCTCATATCATTCAGCCCAACATGCGGCTTTGCATTTCATTATGCCCAACATGCAGCATAACATCTCATTCAGCCCAACATGCGGCTAGCATTTCATACTGCCCAACACACGGCTTTGCATCTCATTTGCCCAACATGCGGCTTTTCATTTCATACTTACCCAACAAGCATCACATTTCTTTACATTTCATATTACCATTTCTTTCTTTTATTTCCGGTTACCCAAAAATCAAGCTCATACAGGTCAGATCTCTCCTTATTTTATCTTTCTCTCCATGTTTTAATTAAAATCAAGTTATTCTTTTATGTTTACTTTTCTTTTCTAACGAAAGAAAAGTAAAGAGGGGGCAACTGTCATAAGTCATAACCCGATTTTTCATTCAGCTTATTTAAGCTTTTCACATAAAAAAATTAAAAATATATATATTACTCACAAAAATTAATTAAAAAATCAAAAAAATATAAAAATATAAAAATATGAAAATTTCTCTTTTCTTTGACTAATACATCTTCATTTTTCTTTCAGGTGCAAAAGGGGGAAATTCAAGAAGGAAATGGGAAAGGAAACTCAAGAAAAGGACTCAATTGAAGGAATCAAAAGTTTAAAGGTGAAATTCATCAAATTTGCAAACCCAACACTAACCCATTTCAGTTGAGCCCATTATCCAAACCCAATTACCCAAAACCCATATACTCAAACCCAAAACCCAAAACCCAAATCCAAAACCAAAACCCAAAAAAAAAAAAAAAAATCCACACTCAAACTCACCGTTTCATGCCAAAAATAAAATAAAAAATGCCAAGGTCTTCGTTCTCTCTCTCCCAAACCAGCTTCCTCCCCAAACCAGCCGGCGCCCCTTGTTTGTCATCACCGGCAATCATGCGCCTACACCCTCCTCTGCACCTCTGCACCCCCTACTCGCTACACCCTCTACGCCTCCCTTTCTGCACACCAAATCCTGCTACCTACGCCCCTGCTTGCCTGCACCTCGCTTGCACCGATCCTGCTCTACGCCTCCTGCTGCCAGCGCCTGCACTCTCCTCCCGAACCAGCCCAGATCGTCTGCACGAACCAGCGCCCCCTGCTCAGCGCCTCTAGCTCCTGCGCCCTAGCTCCTGCCCCGGCCTTGCTTCCTGCACCAGTCTTGCTCTGCGCCAACCCCTTGCCCTGCACCAAATCTCCTGCACTCTGCGCACCGGCAATCATGCCTCCTGCACGCCTACACGCCCTACCCCCTGCGCGCCTGCAACCTCCTCTGCCCGAGCCCAGATCTGCACTCATCACCCCTCCTCTACCCGAGCTGATCTGCACTCATCACCTATGCCCCAATCGTGCAATCCCCGGCTGCAACGCAA